TCATAAAGACAACATTGTAACGGGAGTGAGCGATGGAAGAAAGATTTACTCTGCCGTGTGTATTGCCCACGTTATGGACATTATTATGTCCGTGATATAATAACACCTCCTTTAACGGACGGGACGGAATGTCTGAAAAGAAAAACAATCATAAACGTGCTTTGTTCTAAGAGAGACATTTATACTACTAAGACAAAACTATATATACATATATACACATGTCCCAAATATATATGCACAGAATAGCAGAGTGTAAGGGGAAAGAAAAAGCAAGTGCCTTACATATAATATGGAAATACTCCTGTATCTTTAGAATCCATGTTTAGGATTCTAGACTCAAACGGACTGGATTCTACAAACGGGAAACAGCGAGTCTTGGAGTTTCCCAAATTGTCGACAGCGAGCTGGAGTTTCTTTCTATATTTGGGAAACATATAGATATTTCTAAAGGGTAACGACACCATGGACTGGTAAATTGGATTGGTGGATGGTGCTAAAGAAAGCAACATTTCGATTCAGTTGCTGTAAACAGAACTGAAAATTGACTGCCACTTTCGTCTCTAAGCCGTTCGTTACGTGACCCATGTGACTTTTCTCAAGCAAAAAGCAATAATTGCCTTCTATCTTCCTACAAGGTAAAGAATTTTGATTTCTGAGAAGAATTTGGAATCATACACGTTGCTTTCCATTGAAAAGGAATTGTTAGATGAATTGGATGCAGAAGCAATTATTGGCATATTACAGTAAATACCTAGTGAACATAAACGATTACTTTTAATATAGTCGACTGCATGGAATGCTGTATTCTGCTTTTAAACTATTTGTTAATGTTTAAATTGCGCAGTAAACTATTTAAAATTAAAAAAAAAAAAAAATTAAAAAAAAAAATTAAATTAAAAAATAAGATGTCAATTTATAACAAGTTGTATTTATATTTGCTACTTACTGCCAGTTATGTTGACAGTCCAGGTATAATTTTAAACTCATTTCTCCGCTGATAGAATTGGCAACATATCGGTTTACTCATTCAGCTTTCATTATCATGTCAGAATGTAGACATTTTTACAGCTATACAGCACGTCGTCCTTGACTTCTAATACTATTTATATGCTTTACTCATATCCTGAAAAGCGACTTTCACTGTTGCTATCTACTTTCAAATTTCTGTGTCATACTTGCTCTTATTACACGACACAGTTGAATTTCCGCTTCTGTTTGATTTTGGCATCCCCGATGTGTAATTCACACCTTGCACTGCCCATTTTGCTTGCCACTATACTTTACACCTTCCGCCTAGTCCTTTTTCCTCGTTTTTATTTATACGATTCTATAATGATGCTTTTAGTTTTTCTTTTGAATCTGCCACTAGTAGAGTATTAACTGCGTAGCGTTTGTTGTGGAGGCACGGTGGAGTAATGGATAGCGGCTCGGATTCAAAAATCGGAGAGCCGAGTTCAAATTCCAGTTGAAATCATTACATTCACTTATGTGCTAATAACCTTGGTAAAGATATGGATCCTCTTCTTCCCCCCAACTAGCGGGACAGACCGCGTTCTATAACCTTGGATGGCAACTGGTCTACCGCAGAAAGCAACCTACTGCGGAAAAAATCTGCCTCGTCAGTCAAGTATCGAAAGATGCATGATTGCCTAAGTGTGTATCAAGTATAGCATTAAGAAAAATAGTTTTTGTTGTTAAGAGGGAATTCACCAATTATGCTATGTCTTTTAATTTTCTTAGAATCGTATTCCTGTGCAGGTCAAATAAATGCAGTTCTTTAGGACAAGTGATCATACGGGAAGAGGGTGTCATAAAATGTGCAAGTCATTCATAGTTCTGAAACGCTACTTAAGGTCCCATGATTAACCCTGGAACACAATTGGCAGGTCTTCAAATTCTTTTAGATTTAAATCACGGTGTAGGTTAACTAAGGTGAGAAAAGACATCCTTATCACACTTCTCTTTTACTTCTGCTGTATTTAGTTTTCTGTTTATTCACATACAAGCCGTGTGTTAGTAATTCGGATTACAGATTATTTGTACGACTTTCCCCGGTAGTGTTTTAAGGAGATATTAACTAATTTTAACAATAGTTGCGAAAAATGATGGTTTGTCTTTTTCGAATTGATTTCAAAATAAGATTTGCTTTGTAAAATGGTTTCTTTTAGCTCCGTACGTCATTTTTCTTTTTTCTTTTTAGACCATGTTCATTCAACTTTATTGAAACTTAATAGATCTTCGCAAAATCTTGCATTTTGGTATTTAAAGTTTATATTTATATATTTATATATCTCTTTCATTCCCAGTAACCTCTTGCTTCTTAGTGGCATTAACGCCTTGCTTGGGATGAAATGAAAAAAATAAAATAATAATAAACAATCCAAGCTTATCGCCCAGACATTGTGATTAGAGACCATTAGAATGTGCTTCTCTTATTGACAATGGCAGTCCTTGCAGATTGTAATGTATCTTTGAAGATATTCCAAAAACAAGGATCTTGAATTGGAAATCTAAAAAATGTGTCACATGAAAGCATCAATAATTCCAGTTGTAGTTGGAGCCCTCGGATTGATTGGAAAAAGTTCAGATAGACTCATTGAAGGAATTCTTGGTAGTCCATGTCTTAAAGAAATAGAAAATTGTACTCATAAGTACATCTCACGCATTACGAAGAGCTTTATCTGTGTAAATTGTATGTGATCTTATTATTTTTTTGCTTTATACAAAAATAATCAGGGGAAATGTGATGAAGCCATTACTAACCTTAGATTTCTGATTGGAACGCGGATGGAAATGAATATACAACAGAAATCCAAGGAAATAATAAAAATAATAATTTGCATAAACAGAGAAATAATGTCTTTTTCATTATAAATCTAGCTTTAAATAAGTCACGAGACCTTGTAAATGTCCCGTAAAAACTAGTTTTTTCCAAGCTAAAGGCTGTATTTTTAGCGAAGATCTCTACTAGTTGTCGATATTTCTCCGGCTCCCCATAAAAATACTTTTAACAATTCCCCGCGTTCGTTTTGAGGTGTTGCTTGCAGAGGAGAGGGAGGGGTCCCAGTACCGAGTGTGAGATGAGTTCATACAATTACATTTTCAGTAGCGCGAAATTTAGCAGCCAGTGCTGTCGATTATTAGTTATGGTTCATGAGCTAGGTTGAAGTGCTTCCGTATTTTTTTTTCTTTTTTAATACCACATCCGCTCAGGATGAAGGCTCCCATGACTCATTTCAGTTTTCTGTTAGTTTATTATCTTTGAATTGCCACGAAAGACGAGGGTTTCACTTAGCGGTTTTCCTTTTCCTAGAGTGGTTGCCGCCCAGACCTTGACAGCTCAGTCTACTCGCCTCCCTCACATGGAGAAAAGATAGATTCATGAGTATAAGCAAGAAAGTGTGAAAGTGAATGCAAAAGACTAGTCCGGAATTTGAACTTGTCTTGCTGATTGCACATTCCCTGTTGATTCGATTTGATGTGATATGCTTGTTTAACAGTACATCATCCCCTTCATGGGTCACTTAATGCCGAAATTCAATTTTCTTGGGTGCTTTGAAATAATAAAAAATATATGTTATTCTGCTTTCACAATTGAATACATGGTAAATGATACTCAGCTTTTTTTTTACTATAAAATCGTATCTTTATACTTTCATAGTGTTTTGATATTTGTTTGTGAGGTTCACTATTTGTCAATAGCTGGGACCCTAAGAGCTGCTACCACTCCGGGTGAGGTTGAACCTGGGAACAACAGCAATTGAGAGGAGATTTTACGCTCCCCAAAACCTCCATTCTCTCGACCAGAGGATTGCTGCCAGATGTAGTTTATTGTCACACCCAAGACTTCTCTGTTGATAACCGTTACATGACCCGCATATCAACAAACACTCCCCTCGTTATCAACATGAAAACAAAATCGACAAAGATCATTTATCTAAATATAGGCTCAAGAGCCACTCAATGTAGTTTTTTAATAAATGACATTTGTTGCCGAAGAAACAAAGCAGTGAACCTTCTCATTCAGTTGGAAGCATTATACCTCAGGTAAGGTTGTTTCTATTTACATTCATAATAATGTTCTTATGAAAGGTACGAATCTCTATCGGAAAGGCCTCGTCATTTGCATGTCATAAATATTGATGGTGTACAGAACAGCTGAGTGAGTATTGGCCAAGCTGTGAACTATGATTGGAAATATAAAATTCCAACAATTACAGAAGTTTAAATATCTGGGAAATTTTTAACAGAGGATGGAAAATACGTCACCGAAATCCGAAGAGGCAATGAATTAGCAAAAGATGCTGTAAAATAAGAAACAGTATTAAGAAACAGAAAAAAAATTCCTTACAGACAAAGAAGCGCTGAACTCGATGTAATACCAACCATTCTATAAGTCATAAAATGCTGAACAATTTCCTCACAGAGGAAGAGACAACTGGAAGTAACAGAAATATGGCTCTACAGAAGGATGCTGAGAATACTATGAAAGGAGAGCGTAAAAATAAAGAAGTCTTAAGGAAAATGAAAACAAAAAAGGAGATACTCAGTATAAGAAAGAGACAGATGAACTTTCTAGGTGTCATGAAGAGGAAGGAAGGCTTGGAGAGTTTGACATCCACAGTACATATCAAAAGCAAGAGAGCCACCTAACTTACCAGAGGCACGGTGGAGTAATGGATAGCGGCTCGGGTTGAAAAATCGTGGAATAAATAAAAAAGAAAACTAAATCGAAAATATGTGCTTCTTTTTTCCAATTTTTAGAAACATTTGCAGGTTTTTTTTTTTTTTCAAATTCCTTCATAGGGAATTGAGAATCTGATTTCGGCCCAGAAGGTATCAAAACTCTGAAGCAATGGTTTATTATATTTTCTTTTTGTTGTGATTCGATTTCAGTATCAAGAAAATAGACTGATTGGTGCAACATAAAAAAATGAGCAAGTGGTGGCGTTAAGAAAAAGGATGATATGGAGGACTAGAAGATGTTGAGGAATTGAAGGTTAGAAAGAAGTAGAAGGAATAGAAGAGAACGAAAATGAAAGAGCAGACGAAAGAGAAGAGAACGAAAGGGACAGCGAAGACGAAAGAATGGAAGAAGGAGAAAGAGAAGAGAACGAAAAGGAAAAAGCTGTCGAAAGAAAGGAAGAAGAAGGAAGAGAAGATAGCGCAAAAGAAAGAGCAGACGAAATAGAAGGAATGAGGCAAATGAGAAGAGAACAAAAAAGGTAAGAGTAGACGAAAGAGGAGAAAAGGAAGAAGAGAAGAAAATGGAAAGGAAAGAACTGACGAACGAGAGGAAAGTGGAAGAAAGAGAAGAGGAGAAAAGGGTAAAAGCAGACGAAAGAATGAAAGGAGGAGGATGAGAAGAGAACGAAAAGAAAAGGGCAGACGAAAGAGAGAAAGGCGGAGGAAGAGAAGAGAAGGAAAAGAAAAGAGAAGACGAAAGAGAGAAAGGCGGAGGAAGAGAAGAGAACGAAAAAAAAAAAGAGCAGACGAAAGAGAGAAAGGAGGAGGAAGAGAAGAGAAGGAAAAGAAAAGAGAAGACGAAAGAGAGAAAGGCGGAGGAAGAGAAGAGAACGAAAAAAAAAGAGCAGACGAAAGAGAGAAAGGAGGAGGAATACAAGAGAACGCAAAGGAAAGAGCAGACGAAAGAGAGAAAGGAGGAGGAAGAGAAGAGAAGGAAAAGAAAAGAGAAGACGAAAGAGAGTAAGATGGAGGGATGGAAGAGAACGAAAAGGAAAGAGCAGACGAAAGAGAGAAAGGAGGAGGAAGAGAAGAGAAGGAAAAGAAAAGAGAAGACGAAAGAGAGTAAGATGGAGGGATGGAAGAGAACGAAAAGGAAAGAGCTGACGAAAGAGAGAAAGGAGGAGGAAGAGAAGAGAAGGAAACGAAAAGAGAAGAGGAAGGAGGAGGAAGAGAAGAGAAGAGAACGAAAAGGAAAGAGAAGACGAAAGCGAGAAAGGAGGACGAAGAAAGGAAAGGAAAAGAGAAGAAAAGAGAAATGGAATGAAGAGAACGAAAAGGAAAAGAAAAGAAAGAGAAAAGAAGAAGAAAGGAGGAAAGAAAAGAAGAAAGAAGGAAAGAAAAGAAGAAAAGAGAAGACGAAAGAGGGGAAGGAGGAGGAAGAGAAGAGAAGGAAAAGAAAAAAGAAGACGAAAGAGAGTAAGATGAAGGAACAGATGAGAACGAAAAGGAAAGAGTAGACGATTAAGTGGAAAAAGAAGGAAGAGAGGAGAACGAAAAGGAAAGAGGAGAATAAAGAATGGATGGAGGAGCAGAACGAAATGAACAGAAGAGGAAAAAAAGAAAGAAAAACAGGAATAGAAAGAAAAAAAAAAACAAGAGAATGAAAAGGAATGCAAGAATCTCAGTGTCTCTACTAACATAAAATGATCGTCAGATAAGGCAAGACACTTTGCAATGAATTCCACTCCAGACAACAAGGGCCATCCCGTACTTCATTTTCACCCCACACTCACGGAGCACAAACTTTGTAATATCTCCATGTTCTGTCATTACGCATAAAATCATTGAAGCGCTAAACAATAAATTCATCACGAGGATGATCTGTTTAGATATATCAAAGGCTTTTGACAGGCTGTGGTATCGGAGGTTGCTATACAAACTCTCTTGCCACAGAACCTATAGAAAGGTTTGCTCAATTATCAAGTTCTTCTTGACAGGTAGGTCCTTGTAGGTCGTTGTTAATGGCCAGGCTTCTGAAGCCCATGAGATCAATGAAGACGTTCGCCATTTACGGTCATACTTTCTCTCTTTCTCTCTTTTTCTCTCTCTCTCTTTTTCTTTCTCTGCTTTACATTAACGATTTGCGTAAAAATAAACTCATATCTCTAGTAAATAGTACAACAGTGCATTTTCAAAAATCTAGATGGCCAGATACTTAAAACCAATCACTTATCCGACGTATCTCTCATAGATCATTTAATTGGTTTCTATATATATTTTGAACACAATTTTATGGCTTCAAGTAAATATATTTTGAACGCAAATGTATACCGTCCTGGGTATGACGATAAACTGCATCCGTGTCCTGGGTATGACGATAAACTACATCCGACAGCAAGACTTCTGAGCAAGAGGTTTTGAGGAGCGTGCCCAGGTTCACTCTGACCTGGGGTGGTAGCACCTGTTAGGTTTCGAGCTATGGGTAAATAATTAACCCCCAAACTGGGGTCAAAACGTGTAAAAAAAGCTTTTAATAGCAGCAAAACATTTTCGTGAAAAATTATTACTAGCAATAAATTTTTGCAGGAGAAATTATTTCCAGTAATATATTTTTAGAAAAAATATTACCAAAAATATTTTAAAAAATATTACCAGCTATAAAAATCTTGTCGGCAGTAAATAATCCATTAAAGTTGATATGCCGTAAAACAAATCAAACCAAACAACTGTATGCCTTAAATTGCAGATAAAATGTATTGATGATCATTTTGCTTTAAAATTGTTTTGTTAGTAATTTACTATAAAATGTGTTGTTGGTAATTTCACTTGGTAATTTTACTGTAAATATATAGAGTTGGTAATTTTTTATATAAAAATGTGTTGCTGGTATTTTTAATATAAAATTGACTTTTATACTTCCATAGTGTTTTGAGCCAGGGTAGTAGCATCTGTTAGGATCCCAGCAATAGGCAAATAGTTAACCCCTAAACTGGGATCAAAACACCATGAAAGTGTAAAAATAGGTTTTAATACCAGCAATACGTTTTTTAAGAAAAATTGTTACCAGCAGTACATTTTTGAAAAAGAAAAATATTACCAGCAATACACTTTTTTTTACATATATATTACCAGCAATACATTTTTTGAAAAAATATTACCAGCAATAAATTTTTTTCGGCATTAAATAACATATTTAGGTGTTGATATACCGTAAAATAAACCAAACTAGACAAAAGGAAATGATCAGATTGAAAATACTAGCATTACGTCATTGATAACTGCGCATCAACTAAGTGAGGTTGTCCTTCTTCCTAATTTGAAACAATATGCAATTATAAATGATGAAATAATACGCATTTATCAATGATGTAAGCACAGTTTGAAACTTAACATTTGTAAATAAAGACGGCATGCAGCAATAAATGACATCATCAGAAGAGGTTTGAATGCAGCTGGGTTTCTTTACTAAATCGAACCTGTAGGTCTTGACCGTGGGGATGGAAAGCAGCTGGATGGCATTACCATTTCCCTTTTTAAAATAGGGAAGTCATTAATTTGGTATGCGACCTGTGCGGATATATTTTCGACCGGTAATTTGATCAGATCTGCGGTTGAGCCGGGGTCCATCACCCGGGATGCAGAAATGAAAAAAAAAATAGTTAAATATTCTTCTCTTGCTGATAGATTTTTTTTTACTCCCGTGGCAGTGGACACTTCAGGGGTTATTGGCCCTCATTCGATGCCGTTCCTTTGGAGGATTGGCGCGATGGCGTCTCGATTAAGGGACGAGCCTCGCGAAACGGAGTGGCTCTTGCAGAGTGTCTCACTGGCCATGGATCGAGGTAATGCTTTCTCCAGTATTGCGGCTGGCAGAGGATAGAAAAAAATGTTTATAGTTACTTTGATCGACATATTGTCTGCTGAAAACGTTGCAAATAAATATAGCTATAAATCTTGAAAAAAAAACAAGAAAAGTACAAATAATTATTTATGAAATCACGATACATGTCAAAAATGATAAAATCAATGTTGTTGGATTCTGCGAAATGTTGGGAGAGAAGGAGGGTCTCATAGTGATTTTATAATTGTAGCTTAGATATGGCACAAGGCCGAATATATGGAGCACTCAGTGAGGATCGTACTCCCTCCTCAGTCGTAATTGATCTAACGAGACAAGCTTTTTAGCCATTACATCATGTCGAAGTGCCCAAAAAGTTCTTATGAATGTTAATTTATAAAATTTGTTAAAAACATTCTTTTCTGCTTTTTACGAGCGGACCACTTAACTATGAAATATCCAGAAAAGGCACGGCACGTGAAATTAAAACAATGTACTCCCGTGGACTAAATTAAGGGCTCGGTTCGAAATTCCAACGTATGCCACCTGAAGAAGGCCGGAGCGTATCAACGGTCGAAAATATGAATATGGCAATAAAGCTGATGACAACAATCCGAACGACGTAGATTAATTTTTTTATTTAAAAATTTTTCAGGAAAATAGTTTCACCAAGTCCAGTATTGATGTGGTTGGTGGGGTAGGGAATTGGTCCTTCCTAATCTTTTGTTCAAAATAGTGAAACATCAACATCTTGATTAGGTTATTATTTTACTTGTTGCTATTAATAGATGTCAAGTGATGTGGTTTGTTATATTTTTGTAATTCTGTAACGCCAGACGACGAGGTTTGAACGAAGCTCGACCTATCTAAGATCTATATGGTTAATTCACTCGAAGTCATTTTAATGATTAATCTTAGAAAGTGGCTGTTGTCGGAGTTAACTCCTCCTTCACTCCGTTAACCCTTTCACCAGGGGTCTCTCTTCCCTGGCTATAAATAGCCGCTGACTCTTGGACACTATCTCCTTTTCCTTCAGGCCTGTGTACTGACACCTTGAGGTAAACTCTCTTTTTCCTTCAGCCTCGAAATGTAGGCGCCAACAAGGGATAGCGTGGAAACACGCTAAGCACAATACACACACACGCACGCACATACAGAATATTCACACACGCACGCACATACAGAATATTCACACACACTTCGTCCTTTGTACTGTTTCCATGTATTGTAACTTGTTATTAATATATATTTGTATATACATATATTATCGGTCTTGTTTTTTGTTTGCTTTCTTTGCCTTCTTCTTTGGACTTAATCAAAGTCCAACCTTTTTATGTAGTTGGGCTCGGCGGGCAGAAGTATCTGAACCTTACATGCGTTTCTTCTACGTCTGACTTCTATCAACAACAGCCACGCCATGAACCCTCAACAAGTGGTAACCGCCATTTCCACCACACTGTATACAGCTCACGGTTTCTAGTTTTCTGAATGAATTTGGAGTCATGCATGACATCCATGGGAAAGTTTCGATCAATCTAGGCTAGTTAAAACCATGGATGAAAGCCTTGTTTGTATTACTTTTCCGTTTAATTTTCTCTCCACATTGGCCGACATTTTCTACATGCAAACGTGTTGCGGCATTATAACAGATTCTTTTCAGCTCACAATTACAATACCACAGAATCTTTCTTGTGCTATAAAAACCGCCTGGTTACTTCAGCTAGTAGTTAATATACAATAAATGTCAATGTCCATATTTTAGAGAAAAAAAATGCGCAGGTTTTGCTCTTGTTATTAATGTAGACGAATTTAATATAACACACCTTTCATCTTTAAGATGCGTAAAACACGAATGTATTTAAATAAAAGCCTATAAAATATTTTTGCATATTTAAAGCAGGTTTTAGACTGTTTTTCTAACCACTCTGCACTTAATGGTACGTTAATAAAATTTAAAATCAGTTTTCTATTTTTGTTACGAAAATATTTAAAACATATTGTAACAATTTAAATATCTACTTGAAGGTTTTAATTGCAAAAATAAAGACAAAAAATAGCATATCATAATAAAAAATATTTTGGAATAAAGAAGGTTTTCGATTTTTTTAAAAGTCAGTATTTTCTCATATCAATTTTTATCTTCCAAAATTATTTCGATTACGCTATGATTGATATTTGCCGACAGAAAAAGAAATTAACACCGTAATCTTCCAAAAATAAAGTAGACGTTATAGAAATATGTTTCCGATGAAAATTAGTCAATTTCATGATTACTTATCTTTAGCGAGAAAAAAAAACAAAACTTTTTTCTTAAAAAATATAAAGAAAAATAGATGGATCTTAATTACGTTTTACCTCAGTTCAAAGGTCAAAAAGGTTTTGAGTCATTTTCCTTACCCAGGGATGATGAAAACTCGCTTAAAAATACATGAGTCTTATGTGAAAGCTGAACAAAAGTTACCTAAACTGACTAAATCATATAGCATTAGGCCCAATTCCAAATTTTGACTCTCAACTTTAAAACTATGTCAAATAATATTCATATATACATGATGAATATAAATAATATTTGTTTGTTATGAATACACTCCAAAGGGTACTCAGGATGTCCTTATCAGTGATGTTATAATTTGGGGTCATGACAAGTTTCGTGTTTTTCAACATCATACTTGTTCAGCGAAGAGACCCTACCGAAATAATACCTTTTTCGGAAGGCGATCCTGAAGCAAAAATCCCACATATTATATAACTGCCACTGCTGATCTTGAAATAGCAAGCGACCAATCAGTAACGGTCTACGTCACTTCCTCCTCAGCCAAGACGAGACAAAAAAAGAACAATCTGAATGCTTGTCTTTTCGCCTCTTAGAGTCCAACACGCGGATTCACCAACATTCTCAATGAACACTGCTTGTCATGACAGGTGAGTAATTTCTATTTGTCACCAGGAAAGTTTTTTTTTTTATCTTTTATGAAACGATATAAAAAAAGAAAAAAATATTCATAAACATTCGTTGGTCATAAGAATTTAATTTTTTCCCCTTTCATGCCTTCCAACAGCATCTAAACGCCCGCCTATTCTGTTGTTTTAATAATAATAATGAATAGCGTGGGAGATGCTGAAAATTAGGGAAGACTTACTGTCTTTCCAACTACAGCAATAACCACCAAATATCTTTTTAATCATTTCACTCCAAACAAGGCAATAAAGCCACTAAGACACAATGGGTTACTGAGTGTAAGAGAATATGAAAAAAATATTAAGGAGAGAGAACAATAAAAGAACAATAATTAAGAGGATAACGATTGACTTGCGTTTGAAAATTTTGAAGATCAAAGTTGGCTGCTAAGCAAGGGATCGGAAGAAAGTTCCTTGAGAAGCGAGAAGTGCGAGAGAAGAAACTGTTAGCATAGAACTTACGGTTCCATCTAGCCATTTCAACTGGAAAAGGATGAGAGTTGGCTGCCAATCTAGTAGTACACTCAAATTTATAAAGTCTAGGTAAGAAAAAACAATTAAAGATAGAGATATACGCACACACACACACACACACACACACACACACATATATATATATATATATATATATATATATATATATATATATAAATTCAGGATGTGGAATTAGTAAATACCAAGCACTTCATATACTTCGGTGTATGGATCAGTTTAAGGAAGTTGAATATAGAATAGGCTACGCCAAAGGTAGTTTTGCCCAACACCTCAAATTACTACAGAACCAAATCATTAACCTGATATCTAGAGTCATGTACTTTAGTATCCTAATCAGATCGAGATGTGGATGTCATGTCTGGTGCTAAACCCGTTCAGAAATATTTAAAATGATAACTGTATACTAGCGCTATTTAAGATCAATTATTATAAAGTATTGAGCCATGTCAAAGACCACACTCCTTTGGTCCTTGGAGACTGGCGCTACAGAATCACAAGCAAAGAACTGTGCCAAATAACAGAAACGATAAGACTTGAGGATTTTCAGCAGTAGCAACTGCTAAAATGGTTAGTATATGTAACTCGGAGAGTAAATAGTGACATAATCAAGATGTTGACCATCCACACCACTTCGAACAAAAGGTTAGGAAGGAAACCTTCATCAATACTGGAAAGACTGATAACAGCTACTGGGCTTGAGAAACATTTTTTCCTTTAAAAATTGTTTTAAGAGAATAATTTTATAAATTTTAATCGCAAACGGAACTAGTTAGATTTTGATGAAGCTATTTTACTTGTATTTTCTACTATAATGTTTTGGATTGTGTCTGGCAGGTTTTGGCGTGTGTTTAAATGAGTCCTAATGGGGCTATGATCGGATAGGTATGATGTATGTCGCCTAGATAGGCATTTAGTAGTGTTACTGATGCAATTATTTATGAATTTGCTTTGATTAGGAACACAGTTTCTTAAGGGGCATTTGAACTCGTAAATAATGTTAGTTCTTTGTAGATTTGATTTTGCAGGTGTGTTTTATTTTTTTCTTGATAGCTGTTTCAAATCGAGCTATATATATATATATATATATATATATATATATATATATATATATATAAAGCGAGAGAGGAGAGATTTTGAATGAAGCCAAAAAACGAGTTGAAGTGAGCTTAAAAAGCAAATCTGAAGGAAAATAAATCGAGTACCTTTGTCAGTTATCTTTAATGAAACATACATACATACATATATATATATATATATATATATATATATATATATATACAGAGAGAGAGAAAGATATTGATAATATTAGTGGTCATATATATATATATATATATATATATATATATATATATATATATATATATGTGTGTGTGTGTGTGTGTGCGTAAATTCAAAAGATATAGAACCCAGATAGAACTCAATGTCCAGGACAAAGTAAGAATATAATATATGATGAATTGGATCGTGATTACGATTCCAGTGTAATAAATTATAGCCATGGAATATTATGTTTGAGCCTTTTATATTATATTCATTCATACATATATATATATATATATATATATATATATATATATATATATATATATATATATAAAATGAAATATATATAATATATATATATATATATATAAATATATATATATATATATATATATATATATATATATATGAAGAGCGAGATGAAGTAATAAAGGAAGAACAGTTTAGAGTGGGTGTAAACCAAATCCGAAGGAAAACAAATACGCCTCAATTTTCATTTTCCTTTTCACTCTTTGAAATCTCCAATTTACTTGCCTGATGACAAAAGAACAGACTGTCTTATGGAATTTTGCAAAGTAATTGTGAATAACCATCAAACAAGAAGCAATCATTGTATAATTGGTTATTAGCTGCTTTTGGCTTCCTCTAAGGTTATTTGAGCGTTCGATTTGTGGTAATAAAAATGAAGCGACAAAAGCAAGCCATGATGAAGAGATGATTTTTTCATTGTGAAATAAGAATGGTCTTAGCAGTCATCGCCTAACTATTTCTTTCTCAATGTCTGCTATTCGGAAAATACAGTGACAGTTGTGAACGAAAGAAATCATTTCACTGTCCGAATCAAATTAGTTTTCTTTTATTCGGTTTGATTTTGCTCATAACACTTTTAGCAAATCCTCGTAGAATTTGTCGAGTGTTTTAGTATTTGGGGATTATATTTGGTCATACTTTTCGCTAAATGTATTTGTATTGTTTTCTTGAAGAACGAGAAGAAGACAAAAGAAACTTTAATCTTTTCATCAATAGTAAAAGATTTTAGGTGAATTAAAAGCTGAACGTTATTTTGAATAAAAAAAAAAACTCCCAAAGAAACTCGAATACGAAAGAAAAGATGAAAAAGAAATGAAAAAGAATAAAATGGACGAATAAACTCCAGAAAAAAAAAAGAAAAAATTGAAAATGTGTATTATAGATAAAAAAAAACTTAAGTTTGGAAGGCAATAGAATAAAATGAGATGATCGAATGAATAAAAAATAATGAATGAAAGCGAGAATGAAGGAAAGAAAAAAATGAAAAGAAAGAAGCTTTAAGGTGGGGAAAAAGGCAAAAACAAAGGAAACATAATGAAGGAAGGAGACCCTCCCCCCCAAAAAAAAAGTGAAAAACGAAAAAGAAAAATTAAAGAATGAAAGCGAATAAGAGAGAAATGAATGAATGAAAAAACAAGGAAAGCCGTTAGAGGAAAGGAAAAGGAAGAAGAATAACGCACGGAACGAGGAATTGCGGTCAGAATAAAAAAGAAAACGAAGAAAAAAAGAAAATGTAGCAATGAAAAAAAAAGAAAGAGAAATGATAAAGCCCCGCAAAAAGGAAAAAAAAAGAGGCAAAGAAAGGCGGGAAGAAAAATGGAAGATTCGTTCACGAAGGAAATGTAAAAAAGAAAGATTTTCAAGAAAGAAGGAAAAAGAGAAAATATAGGTTTCATTAAAAGAAAGCGAACTTTAAGAAATGAATGAAAAAGAATGAAAAGGAGAAGGACATAAATAAGAAATGAAGAAAAAGAATGAATAAAAAAATGAATAAGAAATGAATGAAAAAGAATGAAAAAGAGGAAGAAATGAATAGGAAATGAATGAAAGGGAAAAAGAAATGAATAGGAAATGAATGAAAAAGAATGAAAAGGAGGAAGGAATGAATAGGAAATGAATGAAAAAGAATGAAAAGGAGGAAGGAATAAATAGGAAATGAATGAAAAAGAATGAAAAGGAGGAAGGAATAAATAGGAAATGAATGAAAAATGAATAGGAAAAAGAAATGTATATGAAATGAATGAAAAAGAATGCAGAGGAAAAAGAAATGAAAAGGAAATGAATGAAAAAGAATGCAGAGGAAAAAGAAATGAAAAGGAAATGAATGAAAAAGAATGAAAAGCAAAAAGACAAAAGTTAGTCAAGTGACAGAAAGAGTTACTAACACTACTTAAATGAAATATACCGTCGTAAAAGATAGGTTCATTTTTTTTTTAAATAATTTCATTAAATCTTTCTTTATATACAACAATTGTCAGAATCGAAAAATATTCGCATTTTTTTATCATTTTAGAAGGCGAGAGATTCATATTGTAAATACAGAGTCAAATCGGTCCCAGACTTCTTAAAGTGGATTTTCATTTTTTTTATTCATTTCAACTCAATAAAGGTAATAAATCCACTAAGACGCAATGGAAGTTACTGAGTACTAGAGAATATGAGTAAAATAAACATTATTAAGGAGAGAAAACAATAAAAGATGAGAAATTAAGTAGGCAGAAGATAACGATTGGCATTTAAATTTTTGAAGATCAAAAGTTGACTGGGAAGCAAGAAGCCAAAAGAAAATTCCGCAAGCGAGAAGTGCGAGAAAAGGACTGTTAGCATTGAACTTACTATGACATCTGACCATTTCAGCTGTAAAATGACGAGGCCTTGCCGCCAATCCACTACTGTGCTTAAATTCATAAAGTCGAGGATCCAAAGAGGAAAGCTCATCAGAACAATTACCATGAAAATATTTATAGAAAAGGTCGAGGGAAGCTACACTACGGTGGTGATGAATTGAGTGAAGTTTTTTATACCAGGTCAGAACTAATAACATTGCTTTGGATTTTTATCAAGAATCTTTAAAAATATAGCAGGAGCACCAGACCAGATATAAAATAAAATCTCCTAAGCCGGCCAAGCATAGACATCAATACAATATGGGAACCAGTAATTCAGAGATATAGAGAAACAATAAAAACAACAAAATTGTTATATGTGCTCTGGTAAAAAAAATGATTATTGAGACATTAGGTTTATAAGTCCCAAAACTTAATGTCCGCAAAAAAACAAAACAAAAAAAAAAAAACATCGCCCAGTAGATAAACGCGTTGGCTGAATCCAGTGACTTGACTCAAAGAGTTGTGAGTTCAATCGCTGAATAGAGCAGAGGTGAACAAAATCTCAGAAATTTGAGTTGAAGGGAGATAACTGATACTGAGGCCCCCGGAAGAGGCATGGCACGTGCAAATAGAACAATCTACCTCGGTGGACTTGGTAGATTGTTCTAGATTGTTCGGTTCGGAATTCCAATCACCTGAAGAAAACCGAGGCGTACAACGGCCGAAACGTCGTGAATATGGCAACAAAGATAAGGACAAAAGTTTGAACAATGTAAATAAAAAGAAATGCAGTGTTCATCTAATAATATTTCTTTCTTTTGTATGTGAAGAAATAATTTTTTTTAGTCATTTCACCACAAGTAAGGTGATAATACCAAACAAACCTAAACAGGAAACACGGGATACACATCTAATTCTTTTAAAAAGTTGGAGAAGGAGTGTGAACCAAGGGAGTCTATTTACTCCTGCATTTTTTGTATAAATTCGACTTGTAGGATTAAAGTGCCTGAAATTACATTCTTTTTGAATTGATTTGAAAGTAATATAGAGAAGTTGTTTATGAAATGAAAGTTGAACTGAACAACTTTCCTTCTTATTATCGTCAGATATTAATTAAATCAGTTTCCTTTGATGTTGGGTAGTTTCAGGTTTTCCCTTGATTTTACGCTTTGGAGGTCAAACGAAAAGCCGTGAGTGCCGGCTTCTGTACTTTTTGCTGTTGTCTTTTTTAAAACATTGACCTCCATGAAAGGGGAATAGATAAATACGTTCCTTTGTTTTGCTTTCTTTTCATTGGCTGAAAAAAAAACAATGTTTTTTTTATATTGATTTGTCGACCCGGAAATGATTTTACTAAGGTCCGTTGTTGTTTTAAATTTCGCGTTTGTTAGAAACCGTTACACAGAACACTAGCGTTAGTATATTTATTAAAAGGGCTACAATAGTAGCAAAGTGGAATGGTAGGGGAATGCTTGGGGCAGGGGGGGGGGTTAGGGACGGATAGACTGAATGAAGCAAACCAGAAAAAGAGATCGAAGGGAACATATTTTGAATTATGGTCTTCAATCAAACAATGATTTTTGCAAAGCACTCAACCGAGAACGATGAATTGAAATATTCAAATATGAAATCGTAGATACTTAGTCATGTACGAAGATGCTCGACATGAATTGTCAACATGAATGGCTTTTATAGACATCAAAGACAAACAATATCCGCAACTCAATTTGTTCATATCTATCTATCTATCTATCTATCTATCTATCTATCTATCTATCTATCTATCTATCTCAGTTTGTCCATTATCTATCTATCTATCTATCTATCTATCTATCTATCTATCTATCTATCTATCTATCTATCTATCTCAGTTTGTTCATTATCTATCTATCTATCTATCTATCTATCTATCTATCTATCTATCTCAGTTTGTCCATTATCTATCTATCTATCTATCTATCTATCTATCTATCTATCTATCTATCTCAGTTTGTTCATTATCTATCTATCTATCTATCTATCTATCTATCTATCTATCTATCTATCTATCTCAATTTGTTCATATCTATCTATCTATCTATCTATCTATCTATCTATCTATCTATCTATCTATCTCAATTTGTTCATATCTATCTATCTATCTATCTATCTATCTATCTATCTATCTAAGTTTGTTCATATCTATCTCAGTTTGTTCATATCTATCTATCTATCTATCTATCTATCTATCTATCTATCTATCTATCTCAATTTGTTCATTATCTATCTATCTATCTATCTATCTATCTATCTATCTCAGTGTGTTCATATATATCTCAGTTTGTTTATATCTATCTATCTATCTATCTATCTATCTATCTATCAAAATATATTCATATCTATCAGTTTGTTTATATCTATCTATCTATCTATCAAAATATATTCATATCTATCTGTGAAGATGACAAAACATGGAAAATATTATGCAGGTCGGAGAAACGTCTGCTCTCTTTGGCTTCTTCAGTTTATACTTGTGCCATACTGACACACACATGCACACTAGCACACATACTCATATAACCATATATATGGCTCTTTAGGTTTATATTAGGTTTTGCTCTACTTCGTGTATTGAGCACTTTATGTAGTTACTTTTTTTTTTTTTTTTTTTTAGTTTTTTTTCTTTGGACCCCGAACTTGAACTCTGGATCATTGTTTTCGCCTCAGTTTCATATTCTTAGTTCTTTTCTTTTTTTATCCCTCATTTTTCCTTGGGCATTGGTTTGTTCATTTACAAACCAAAAAACCTAAGGTTTTTCCAAGCGAGTACCACCATATACCACCATATATATATATAGTGATACTCGCTTGGAAAAACCTTTAGGTATTTCAACTTGCAGTTGAACAAACCAATACCCAAAGATATATATATATATATATATATATATATATATATATATATATATATATACTATATACTCAGTTCATGTTTAACAAAAGTCCCCTTTCGTAAACTTCCCTGTTTCACTTTCCTGTTTTATTGTTAGTTATTAACACATTTATTTTTATGTTACTTACTAAAAAGCTGCTTTATTTATACTAGTACTGCCAGAAATACTCACTTAAATGTTCATTAAATAGAAATTGTCAAACCAAAGTCACTTTTGAAAACGATTTCGTTCTTCTAAATTTCAAACGCTTTATTTACAATCGTAGCAAATAACATTATCATCATTATTTGGTCTGATGAAGCGTTGTCACGCATTATCCTGAAAATACTTTGTTTGTATAACCAACTTATTCAGAAATAATGCACACAATACTGAAAATCTTTAGCAATATAACTACAATCAAAAGAAAACAATTTATAGTGTTATGAACAATGTTTCATTACTATGCGAGAAGGTGCTACGTTAGGCAAACAATGGGGAGAGATAAAAGAAAGGGGAGAAAATAAAAGAAAGGAGAGAAAAAATAAACAAAGGGGAGAAATAAAAGAACGTAGAGATAAATGTAAGGGGAGAGATTAAAGAAACTCTGATGCCCACGTGGGCGGTACAACGTAGCTGCCCTCGTGGCCCTACAACGTAGCTGCCCTCGTGGGCCGTACAACACTGATGCCCTCGTGGGCCGTACAACTCTGCTGCCCTCGTGGGCCGTACAACTCTGCTGACATCGTGGGCCGTACAACTCTGATACTCCCATGGGCCGTACAACTCTGCTGCCCTCGTGGGCCGTACAACTCTGATATCCTCGTGGGCCGTACAACTCTGATATCCTCGTGGGCCGTACAACTCTGCTGCCCTCGTGGGCCGTACAACTCTGATATCCTCGTGGGCCGTACAACTCTGATATCCTCGTGGGCCGTACAACTCTGCTGCCCTCGTGGGCCGTACAACTCTGATATCCTCGTGGGAGCGAGTTAATCTCTATAGGTATTAATGAATGTGTGCAATATTGCAGGCCACCTTTTCCAGGTGTAATCCTCTTTTGGGGATGTAGGCACTGTTAACTTTAAAAGCACTGCTCTATTAGAAATGGTTGCTATCTATAGAGAGTACAAACTCCGGCTCCAGCTCCCAGTAAATAGAAAACACCAGATTTCGTTTGATCACAGTTAAGCAGTGCCGAGACTGATTAGTATTTAGATGGGGGACGGCTTGCAAATATCAGGTATTTTAGGCGACCATCTGTAATCCTATAAATAACCCAAAACGTGTTGATAAGCCTTAAAAATGAAACAAATCAAACATTCCCAGCAGCAATCATCCCGAGAGGACTGTACGTACAGGGTGGAAATGAGACCTTCCCAGCCTCTCATCAATGATCTTAACGCACGACTTCCATCCTCATCGTAGATGGGCTTGTGAATTGATAAAGAAATAAAGAAACCGTGAAAAAATACATCAACAGCTGAAGCAGTATCATTAAACGAAGAAAGAAAATCACAATATTGATACATATTTTTTAATCCTATCTAAGCATTTGGCTTACATAAGCCATTATCAAAGATGGCAATTACATTACAATATATTAAACAATACACGGACAAAACAATAATGATAGCCTGTTTTTATTTACATGGAAGATTTCCAAGCAACGACAAACTCTGGAAACGAAAATCACACCGCAGCTCATGACGTCATACATAACCACGCGAGAGTGAAAACGAGAAGTATTAAGTATGGGGAAGCCGTTGGTATAAACCAATGGCTTCTGTTAGGATATATATATATATATATATATATATATATATATATATATATATATATAATAATCCATTGGTATATAATCCAAGTGATTACTAAAATATTAAAACTGATTCACATAGGGAGCTCAATGTTTTATTCAAACAGTGCATATAAATTACATACAATAGAAATTAAGATTACTCCATGGTTATGATCATTTGATCTCACAAATTAAAATTATTTTGCAAGGATTTTCAAAACCAATTACGTTAATAAGAAAAATAAAATGAAACTGGTTTAAAACAAATTTTAAAAACCAGACAGAAGCAAAGAAAAGGTTTGTTTGCTTCCATCTGGCTTTTAAAATAGTAAAATCGAAACATGTTAGATTGATAAACATTTTCTATTTGTTCTTTATCTCATCTTTCTATCTCTTACAAACACACACATTATATATATATATATATATATATATATATATATATCCTAGTTGAAAACACCCTCATACTTTTCCATAAAAAGAATAAACACAAATTAAAAATTCTTGATGCCAAAAAATTGAAACCAAGCCCTAATAAAATTAATTATGAATACTCCACATTTTAAAAAGTTTAAAATAAATAGTCACTTAATGTCAGTGTTCGTACTGTTAGTTCTTTCCTCTATTTTTCGTGCAAAAACAATTGTGTTTTTCCAATTTTTGGCACTGTCAGAACCACCGCAAGGTAATTTTACGTAGTCCTGTAAGGTTTTGTTGAAATCGGTTGAAAAATGTAGGAAATCCGATCCAATACACACACACACACACACACACACACACACACACACACACACACACACACACACACACACAACTTGGGTTTTATAATAAGTATGATTAAGCTTGTCACCACAATTACTGTTACGATAAGAATTGGGATAGAAAAAATTGAGTACAATTGAATTTAGTAAATCTTTATGTAGATTTATTTTGCCGCTCAATTCCTACCGAAATTTTACCCATAAGACTTTTAGAGAATCCGGTTAATATATTTAAATCAAACCTTTTTTCCAATACGATCAGATCTTGTGATCTTTTTCAACTTGTTATCTTTATTCCATCAGCGATTATTCTTAGGTTGATAAGCCATAAAAATCAATCAACAAATCAAAAACCTAATTTTCTCAATAGCTCCTGTTGCGCGCGCGCACGCACACACACATATATATATGTATGTATTATATTTTTTATATTATTTTAATATACTCAGGCGGTGTGAAAAAAACCCAGATAATATAATTTGTAAATAAAAAATATTGAACAAACCGATATCAGGGGAAAAAAATTCAATAAAAAAAAAGACTAAAAACATCCGTGCCGGTTGAAAATAATCAATCAGTACCTCAATGTCTAGTCAAAGGAAAAAAAAAAACCTAGAGAGTTGCTTAAGTTAAAACGTAAAAGGGCTCAATAAATACAGCAAAAACTAAAAAAAAAGAAAAGAAGGCTAGTGAGCCAGAACCTATAAACCACAGATCTTTTGTATTTTTTTTTCTGATAATCGCTTCCCTTAGGGTGGGCAGAATTTGGCTGTTTTCTGAGTGTTGTTATCCTCTTGTCCCCTTCTATCCAAGTTTATGTCTA